TCGTTATAGATGTTATTCGATTTCTTCTTATATTAATTCAGTTTTACAGCTGACAAACTGTTTAACCAAGCTGCTCCTTCCACTTTTTAACTTTTTTATTTTTTCAACCACAGCTAATGAAAGAACGTGCAATTAATCCTAAGATTTACTGTTATCATGTGAAAGAACGGTTATTTAGGTAGGGCAAAAAACCTGAGGTAACAGAGAAGACTAAATGTACGATACTTACCGGACTACTGGTCGACAGGTACAGCAACTTTTCAGTGACAGAGACTCTTTAAAATCAATTTCAATTATGAGAAGCAGTTATAAGTCTTTTCCTAGTGGACGCAGTTATCGACAGAGTAAAATGGAAGCAAAAGCATTGATTTGTCCGAGCAAAATGAACAAAAATAACGAGAATAAAAATGCACCATACAGCAGTGACAGAAATAATAATAATAAAGCCGAACGATGCACTAAAAACGAGAACCACCAATTCATAAATGCAGCAGTTGTTTTGATGAATTAGCTTATCTTTTCGCACGTGGCTAATTAGGCATTTCTCGATTTTTGAATGCAACACTCAAAGAATCTCTAAGCTGATAATTGACGTAGATGTTGTCAAACACACTGGCCATCACTTTTAAAACTTAGAATGGCGCTGTAAACTTTTAAAAAGCTGTAAAGAACTATTAGACGTGTTATTAAACCTAGAATAAAAAAATCCTCACAGCTTCTCAGATTCTGACGACCCTGAAGTACTTGATAGTGCTTTGCAACATGTATAAACCAAATAGTGTGCGTATAAAATATGACACGATTAGCACAGAGGATCTTTTGTTCTTTGAGACTTTCAGTTTCTTTTAGTATCGATATAACTGAGTTTTGCGGATATGAGAACATATAAAGCTTTATATAGCGCTATTAGCCAAAAAGAGAAAAAGCTGCTTTCTTTAATAATGGCACTTTACTTCAAAGTACATCAACTAAGCGTGAAAAGATGCCTGATTTAAAGCGTCTAAAAAAGTATGCAACAGTAAAGAATGTAATAGAGGAACATTGAAAGTAAAGCGTTTATGGTATTCGGACAACGATTCTTCCAGTCTAATTAAGTATTAAGTAAATTTTAAGCTATGAGATATATACCATTTCCGACCAATTATTCTAGTAATAGTTCAGATGTAGCAAAAAGTGTGCCTTTGAAGTGGTGTCAAGAAGTCGGTCAACTTTTGTAATTAAGATCAAGAACAGTTAGTCACTGGCACAAAACCACTGTTAGGAAAGGTGTTGCGCGAAAGTATATAGAATAAAGTTACAAAAAGTGATCCAAAAAAAAAAAATTATTTATTGTTTTTGGTTTTTCCTTTGAGTGAATTTATTTTAAGAAGTCACCGATAGGTTTTTTCATTTTTTTACTCATTTGCAATAAGAATTGTCAGTGCAGATAATTCCAACGTTCAATTCATAAATTTTTCAATGAGATGATGGTTTGAGCGGTGTTCAGTTAGAGCACAATTGTTAGGTTATTGGTTTATAGAAATCTGAAGTGGTGCTTAATATAACTTTCACCAGTACTTCAAAACTATGAAAATTGATGCAGCATCATACTAGGTTTAGATGTTTGATAAATTCTGTTGTCATCATCTTCAAATGGTGATAGCAGAGTGATGTTATGAAATGACTTTGTCTTTTGGCAATATCATTCAACTATTTGCAGATCATTTGATAACTGATATTCTTAGCTGGTAATTAAGTGAATTTTTCTGTAAGGTTACCGGTAAAATGAGACGCATGCAGTATTTGGTATTTAAGCCTCAATCAGATAAGTACTTAAGCGTTTAAATAAAACAATCTTTTAGAAAATGTAAGAAGATAAATATTTAAAGTGGTAAACATCTTAACATAATTTTGTATCAGAACGAAAAAGAAATTCATACTGGTTGTAATGACATGTAATGGAGGAAAAAAAAAGCTCGGTTACAACCTTTAATGTATATTAATACGTTAAAATTTTCAAGCAAAAAACCTGTAATTTTTATTGTAGAAATGTTTTTTTTTTTTTTCTATTTGAAATTATATCTACAAATAAATAAGCAATCTATTTCTAAAAGGCTTTGCTGAAATAAAGTTAGAACAAATTTTACTTTTGCTTTATTTCTAAAATTTTTCTGGACTGAAATAATGATCAAATAGAGTCTTATTTCTTTTTCCCATTTTTTTTCACTGTTTTTTGGTGTAAACACGCATACATTCTTCAGCATTAATGTATTTTTTAATTATTTAAAATTAAAATTAAAAAACTTTTCACAAATTTTTCAAACTCTTCTTATAATTGTTTTTAAATTTAATTTTTACTAAACCTAAATTTTTCTAAGTTTGAACCTAAAACTATTACAATAAAAAACATAAATTCAAAAAAATATATATATATATATCTTTTTTAAAATTTTGTTCTCTAAATAGCTTTATCACACCTCATCTTTTCAGCCTACAATTTAGTCAGTTTAGCTCAAATTAAAAAACCTGTAAATGAGGTACCTATGTGTATGTATACTGTATATGTTTTTTGAACTAAAAACTTGTTGAAATATCTTAACAACTGACTATCGCTGCAAAAGGTTGATTGTTTTGCCTTACAACTATATAAGTTAGTCAAATAATGTTTGAGAATAAAAAACAAGACTTGAAAAAGCAGAAAAAAAACTGGCCACACCTTCAACATTTTCAAAACGTAAAAGATAATCACTGGAACAAGTAAGCAAGATAAAGATTCTAATCGCTTTTATCAAAAAAGAAATTGGGTAATTTATTCATCTATTTATTTACTGATTAAAAATATTTGTGAGAGAATTTTCCCACTAAATTATTGGTTTCGATATGACACAAGTTGAAAACAGTTGTAAAGAATTTTCATAGGTAATTTTGCTGATAAAAAAACTGTCATAAATTTGTACGTTGAGCCTTGTTGACCACTCATTACTCTGGTAAACTAAGTCTTTTTTCCATCGCTCAAACGGTTTCGCACCAAATTATGCGTACAAATTATGCGAAACCGTATAAGCGATGAAAAAAGACGTTACTACCTTTTTGTTGAAATAAGAAACGATATCACCTTTCTAGTTTTCTATGATTATTGTATTTTTAAGGCTGCTGAACAATTGCCGGTTCGAGAGTTTGGTGGACTATAAGGTTTGAGGTCTTATACGAAATCATCTGAGTTAACAGGGTGTTTTCTGAATTCTATTTACGATGATATACTTTTTAATCTCGTTTGACGGACTACTAAAGTTTTTTTTGTCACTATTACCACTTAATTGCTGAATTAATTCAGGAAGTGGAAAGATGTAACTGCTATTGGTTCTAAAGCAATAACTTTCAGTTTCGCCACGTTTCAATCTATTGAAACCTGACTTTCAGGTGCTTTATTTCCGTGAGTGGCAGAACTTGAAATATTTAACTATGTCAGATAAAGGAAAAGCAATTTACAGTCAGCTCTTTTAAAAAATTTGTATTTGGTTTTACAAATGAAGCTTACGCTTTTATTGACAGGCACCACATTGGGGTCTAAAGGGTGAAGCTGGATAGGTGACAAACATAAACTTTTTTGAATATTTTTGAGGATTTTTTTTTGAATTTAATTGAGAAATTTCTGACAACTCAGTTTTGGTCTCTCGCCATTTTCTCGAGTGTATTCTTCTCCCGCAAGCAGCAGTATTCTGCAGTATAAAAGAACAAAAAAAAAAAACCAAGTTCCTGGAGTTTTCTTTCTTGAGCGACTGCGTTTGCTGGCGCTCTGAATAGGAAAGTATTTTTTAAAACTGGTCTTGTTTTTCTCTGCGCTTGCAACTTGTACTTCTCTTCACCAGCACTGCCAATTCAGCAGTTATAGACTTGTTCGTGCTCGGTTGATTATATTAGAAATTAAGCAGTTTGCCTAAAAAACCTTATTTTTTGTGATATTACAACGCTTCACTGAATAAGATCGTAATCACATTCTGTTTCGCACAGTTTTTTCAAAACTGTTAGACTTTTGACTGAAAGATAGTTTTGGCTATGAGTAAATATTTTTGTTCAGCGAGGATAAAGGTTTTTTTCTAAAAGTATTTTTAAAAATTATTTAAAAAGTTTTTTGTTAATTGATACAATTGGATTAGCTCAATGAAAAAAGCTAATACACGTCTAAAATTTGAGAAGGTTGGCGGTGCAGCTAGGGTAGGGCAGCTTCTGTTAAAACTGCTTTTGAAATTTTTCTTTTTTCTTCTTCCAATTTTGTGATAGTGCATTACGTGGTGTCTAGCGAAAAGAAATTTGTCCAAAAGTTTTTTTTTTGCAAAATATTCAGTCTTGTATTTGGCTGTTTCTGCTCTTAACAGGTGTTATTTGTCTGTGAATATTTTCAGTTCAATAAATGAAGATTGATAACCTAGGCGTCTATCATTGACGGAGATATTGAAATTAATTTTTCTGAAACTGACGGGTTGGGTAACCTTAATTTTTCAAAACATTGTAACTATCCTTGTAAGCTTACGACAGGGTGTTGCTTAATTATTTTTGTGAATGAAGAAATAAGTGAACAAGAAACCTGTTCAAATGGTAATTTAAGTTTTCCAAAACGTTTAATACTAAGTTGCTTCTGAGATATGTAAGCCTTGAAAAAACCAGGCGACAAAGTAATATTTATAGCATAGCAAGTTTGGCTTCTGTGTTCAGCATATTCAGTTATACCATTCCAACTTGTTTATCGGTAGGCCATAGATCCCTACTCCGATTGTCGAGGTTACTTACTACAAAGTGCGATAAGTAAACAGTGTATTACCGCAAAGGGAAAAAGCTCAATTTTTAAGTAAAGCAGCTTTTTGTTTCAATGAATGTTTTGTTATTTCGCTCGTTTTAAGTACTGCGTTTAGCTAGTACTTATAATTTATAACTTCCAGATCACTTTCTGCGGTTCCGGTGATAGAACCTAACTTTTAAGCCGTTTGACACTTATTCTAAAGCTATAGGAAAACAGTTGAGAGATGACCGAAATTGACCACCCTATAAAGCAACGAGGTAATAAGCAACCTTTTTACTTACCATTTATACTGATAAGTAGTTCCTCGCAAAATTTACAGTTTCCTTTCAATTACGTCATTTTTAACAACGGTATAGGTTTCCAGTAAATTTATAGTTCTTGTGGATTACAGTTGCTAAGTTTACGGGCAGGGTACTTAATTTGATAACTTTCAATTGCACTTAATACTGATGCTCCTGTGAAGTATGCAATAACTTCAAAAGTAATGTAATAATTTTCATCAGGTTTCAGCTAGATTACTTTCGGTTGTTACTTTAAAGCTCAAACAGTAGGTGATTTTTCCAGCATTACTTAGTGTGTCAGATAAAAGTGGCATTCTGGCGTTTGCGAAGTCTTTGGTTTCCTTTGGCTTCGAGCTGATTGCTTCTAGCGGAACTTACAAGCTTCTAAAGAGTGCTGGATTACCAGTGAGGTGAGTCAATTAGTCAGTTCTTTGAAACTGGAAAAGCGCATAAATTTCCTGGTTTTATTTCTTTAGAGAAGTTTCTGAAATAACATCTTTCAATGAGATGCTTGGTGGAAGAGTGAAAACGCTACATCCTGCAATTCATGGAGGTATATTGGCCAGAACTACTGAGTCAGATCTAAGAGACCTTCAGGTTTACTACTACTAGCTTTATATTAATACAGCTGACTATATGGAAAGTGAGTTTTTTGGGCAGGAATAATGTAAAGGCTGTAGCCGATGTAACTGGAGAAAACTGATTATTTATTATGCCGTGTAAATACATTTAGGCGAATGGTATCGAACTTGTTTCAATTGTGGTTTGTAATTTGTATCCTTTCCAAGAAGCTATTGCAAAGTCTGGTTGTTTGTTCGAAGAAGCAATTGAGAACATTGATATTGGAGGGGTGACGTTGCTGCGAGCCGCAGCGAAGAATCACTCTCGTGTGACTGTCATTTGTGATCCGAGAGACTATGGCGGTGTTTGTGAAGAAGTTTGTTTATTCTTTAAAGTTTCGCATTATGTTGACAGTTTTTACGGACCACTGTGTTCTGCAACATATTTTGTCTTTCTTACTGATCCATTTCTCTTTAGTGTAGGGGTTAGCTAAGGACAAATACCAAGATAAATTCAATTATTATTACTGAGCGATAATTTCTGGTGTCAAATTTGAGGTTAAGTGTCACTTAAAGGAACTACAATGAAATAAACTTTAATTTAACGCTTTCAAGATACCATCAGTTTAATTGATGGTGTCTGTATAAAAAAGTTGCTAACCCTAAACTGTTGTTGGATTTCAGTCATTGTCTCTTCAGAAGTTTGACTGGTAAGGTAATACCTCATATAGAGTGTAGAAAATTTCTTAATATTTGTTCAATGTGATCTGAGATTTATTGATGAAAAGTACTAATTCGAAGTCGTAATTTTAGCTTTCAAGGAATTCGCTGGCGTTGGTTTCTGAGAGGCTTCGTCAGTCTCTCGCTCTTAAGGTAATTGGTTTTCCACTTCGGTAACTCAGAAAATTACACTATGATTTTGTGTATAATAAAACTCACAAGCATTTTTTGGAGCACCAATTTTTTAATTCGTAGTTTCTACAGGAAAAAATGTTGTATTCAGAGAGCAGAATGTCCCATTTTAGTTTATTATGATCCTTGTTCTTAGATTCACTTTCAGCTGTAATAAGCAATATTAGGTTGATGGGCATGTCACATTTTTGGGTTACATGATTTATATATCCTGTAGAGTACTAGAATATCTCATTTTTTGAGGGAGTTGATTGGCAAATTGATTCTGCTCTCGTTGCCAACGGTCTTAAATTGGCATCCCAAACAAAGCATGTTATTCCCTTACTGTAGGCGTAATCTGCTGAAGTCACTGCATTTCCTGGCGTTCCTTTCTGAGAATGCTGTCGAGTTTCAGGCATTTGAGCACACTGCACTTTACGATGATTCGATCAGTGGATATATGAGGCGTAAATTCATCGAAAACGGGAACAGGTCTATTTCACTTCGATATGGGCTAAACCCTCATCAGACTGATGCAGAGCTTTACAGAAAAGATGGCGACTTGCCGCTAAAAGGTTATCTTAGAATGGTTTCTGAAGGTGTATGAATCATGACAAACCTATCTACCAAACTTAAAGACCATTTTTGGGAACGCTTCTTATTAATTGTTGATTTTTCGAGGTTTTAACGTAAGATAACTGTAAAATAAGTGTTCACAAGGATTTCCAGATAATGTGCCTTAACTACCTTATTTTTTATTAGTTCTGAACGGTTCTCCTGGTTACATCAACATCTTGGATGCTTTAAATGGCTGGCAGTTAGTTAATGAACTTCGTCAAGCAACAGGTTTTCCGGCGGCAACGTCGTTCAAACACGTGAGTCCAGCGGGAGCAGCTGTAGGGTTGCCGCTGAATGAAGCTGAGGCTAAGGCCTACATGGTAAATGACCTTCCTATGGATTCAGAAACCCCTTCTTTAGCAGCGGCTTACGCGAGGGCTAGAGGTTTGCGTTATTCTCATTAATTTTCTTTTTACTCATCACTTGGGCACCAAAACTTACTTTAAAAATCTTTCTACAGAGTTATTACGTTTTTTGGTTATATGCTTAATGAGCTTCCTGATCTGGCTAACGATAAATTTATTTTTATGCTGAGTTTTGTGCTCCCTTTTTTCCATTGCTTTTTTGGTTGATGTATGTCCTGTCTCGTAAACGAGGTTGGTTAAGATTAAAAAGAGCCAGTATTTGCACCACCAAGGCTAATCTAGTGTAAGATAAATTATTGGGCATTGAACTGAGTTGTATTTGTTTCACATGTCTCAAGTTTCCACAGATTTCTTACGTCTTCTTTGACTACACTGTAGTGGTCTTCACGAACTAAATTACTGGTGAAAACTGCGGCACATTTTTCTTTTTTACTTTGACAACTTCTAACTCTCATCTTTAGCAGTTTCGTTAACTAGAAACCGAATTCGCCATACTTTTCTATATCCCAGAAAAGATTTTTTTTACACTTTAGAGTCCACACTTCAGGGGCTGACCGTATGTCGTCATTTGGGGACTTCGTTGCTTTATCAGAAAAATGTGACGAACTGACTGCAAAGATTATTAGCCGAGAAGTTTCTGATGGTATTATAGCACCTGATTATGAACCTACAGCAATGAATCTTTTAGCAAAGAAAAAAGGAGGCAATTATGTTATTTTAAAAGTATGTGGCAGAATTATTTCTTTTCCGACTTTATTGTTGACGCCAAAATGAGTTCCTTCGCTTTCAACCAAGTGGAAAGGAAGCGAAATAAACGTCTCTAACCGTTCTAAGAATGAGGAAGTTCCCGTCTTTGTTCATATGCACTGAATATCCTAAAGCACGTGATTATTCAGATAGATCCGCAATATGTACCTCCTGAGTATGAAGAACGAACAGTGTTTGGACTTCAACTAAAACAGAAGAGAAACAGTAGTTGTATAAAACCAGAAGTTTTCTCAAATATAGTGTCAAAGTCGAAGGCAGTAAGTCTTAAATTATTTCATTGCATAAGTACACGTTTAAAAGTAGACAGGAAGGTTCATTCCGTCAACTTTTAGTTACCAAAATCGGCTTTGGATGACCTAATGGTTGCTACAATCGCTGTTAAATACACGCAGTCCAATAGTGTCTGTTATGCATATCGCGGTCAGGTCAGTAAAAAATCAGTTTCTTTTGTTTATCGCTTAAGACTAGTCTATTAGGCAGTTCTCGAGTATTTATTTCAAATCTCCATTGTTAAACTTTATAACAGTAACCCACTTAGGTGATTGGAATTGGAGCTGGACAACAGTCTAGGATACACTGTATGCGTTTGGCTGGCGAAAAAGCAATGAACTGGTAACCAGTAGTTCAGCAGCCTTTATTCCATTTTTCAATCTTAGAAAGTGGTTTTTTATCGTTCATGATTTGACTAGGTGGATGAGACAGCATAAGCGAGTTTTGGATTTGCCGTGGAAACCTTCAGTAAAGCGGGCGGAACGGTCTAATGCAATTGACGTTATAGCGTCTGGAGTGCTTGGCAAAGAGATTTCTGAAAATTCTTGGGAGCAAAACTTCCTTGAACCAGTTAGACCGCTTACCAGTGTCAGTTTTTTTTTGCACATTTTCAAACGGAAGCTTGTTCTAGCTGTTGTTTCACTAGTTCTAAAAAAGTTTCTCCGAAATCACCTTGTCTAAGTTCGTGTTTAGGAAGAAAGGAAAGAGTGGTTGTTAAAGCTTGCTGATGTAGTTGTCAGCTCTGATGCATTTTTTCCGTTTCGTGACAATATTGACTGCGCGAAGCAGGTAAGTTTTTAGCATTCATTACTGTAATCAGTGTTTTTTGCACCATTTTCTTAACACCTAGTTTTCTACGCGCCCCTTAATGATTCCTTTTTAGTACGGCGTGAAGTATGTGGTAAGCCCAGGTGGATCAAATCGCGACCAGGATGTAATTGAAGCCTGTGATGAGTACGGGATAACTTTGGTACACACTCAGCTTAGACTCTTCCATCATTAAATCTGGTGCGATGTTTTTGTACTTCTTTAGCTACACAAATGATCCATTGCATTTTTACAATTCTTGTGGTATTTTATTTACGGTGTGAAAATTTAATCATTTTCACTCGTTATGGTCTGATTTCAAAATAACTGATGAATACCTGAAGAACTTCCGGTGTTTTACAGTGAATGGCCTTAAATGTTATGAGACTTTCTTCCAGCTCTTTACTTTTAGTACCTTTCCAAATAACTCGTTATTTTTCGTCGCTTCTGTAGAGGGCGGGGATTATCTTGCATTGGTCACCCAGCGTTACATAGAGTGGTCTCAAAAATTTGGAAAAAAAAGCACTGAGTGAGATACAAACATTCACTCGTAGACTCTTAAATTAAGTGAAGTGATGGGAGCAAGAAATAATTCGGTAAAATTGGAAAGAATGTGAAAGGACTAAGACGAGCAATGCTTGTTTCATTTCGGTAGTCCCATCTCTCTTATTGTCTGTAATGAAACACAACCACATTTATTACGGTTGGGATTCACTGGCCAGATGGGTCAAAAGAAAAGTGAGGCTGCCAAACCGAAAGAGTTTGGGAACAACTCAATCGTTACTCACAAATGAAGCATGTAAAAAATTACTTTAGAAGTTACTTGTATTACCACTGTCTCTGTTTGCAGGCCTCAACTTCGATAGAAAAAGCAGATTTTTTCTAACACAACTAGACAGCTAGTTTTCCGCAGTTCTACTTTGCAAAAAATGTCTGGACCCTGCAGTCATGCGCTTCATTTTCTTTTTTCACACTCTCCTTGTAGTTTCTGTCTGAAGAAAGGAGTTGACGTGTTTCGGCAAGCCCTGATGTGATTAACTTTTGAGAGTGAGAAAAGACAAAAAACTGTCTTTAAAAAAATACCACTTGAGTGTTAGAACAGTTAGCCGCCTCGGATGTTAAATCTAGACTGTCTTCGAAAACCTGGAGTAATTTATACCTTCCTGAGCAGTAAAAGCTTGATACAACGTTAAAAGCAGTATCTGCTCTAAAAATTTCTGCAAAATCAGGTTTAGTCTTTTGCAGAGAATCACAACGTGCAAAACATTCACTGCAGAGCATCACATTTTGAAGCTAATTCTGTAGTAGTAGTTAATACTACCAGAGTTGCAGCAGTTACGAGGTCAAGCGTTTATTTTGCGGAAGCGACCACAGGAACATCAACAACAGTCTTTTGCAACTGACAAAAATTTTGATGACGTGCAAGACATTCTTTGCAGTAAAAGTTGTAGAGCAAATGATCTTATCTTACTTTCTTGCATTTCACCAGCCAATATTTGCGATACTGCACGCTTTTATTGGTTGTTGTTTTTGCCTTCGTTGAATTCTTCCTTTTAGAGCCGCAAAGAAAAATTACTCAAAGAGAAAAAAAAAGAGCTGTTTAAAAAAAAAAAAAAAAAATTTGTAAAGAAGTGCAACAAAA